GATGTCCTGCTCTGCTCCCTGCAGGTACTATGGTCGGAGGATGCTCTTCAGCATGATGGCCCACCCTGAGTTTGAGAAAGCCCTGGAGAGGTACATCCCAGCCAAGGACTTGCCTTACATTAAGGACTCTGTTGGCAGCCTACGTGAGAAGGTGTGTGGGAAAGCTCTTGTTTAGCAGCTGGGACAGGTAAAGGTGTTCTGGGGGCTTTAGTTGTAGACAGTCTCCAGCACTGCAGCCATGAGAATTCCCTGTGATTCTATGATTCCCTGAATTGATGTTGTACCTCTGTGCAGGGTCTGGGGGAGATGCCACTGGACACACCTTCAGCCAAAGGAAGACGTTCCCAGACTGGCAGTGTTGGACATTTGAGGTCGTCCCCCACTTCCAGAGATGCTCTCAGTGTCCCGGACAGGTAACGACCTCCAGTGGTTTATCCTGGCAGGAACTGACCAGGAAGAGAGTATGGAAACATCCACACAGGGCTGGGAAAATTAAACATTCCTGTGGGAAAAGGAAAACCCTGACCTGTCCCAGTTAAAGTCTTAAATACAGTGACTGGTAATTTTGAAGTTAATTTGTCTCTTGACCACCTGTGAAATACACACAGCACACAAACCTCTTGGAATTCACAGTGTGGAATCAAGAATCAGGGAATGGTTTGGGTCAGAAGGGAGCTTAAAGCCCATGCAGTCCCACCCCTTGCCATGGGCAGGGACACCTTCCATGTTACTCCAAGCCCTGTCCAACCTGGCCTTGGACACTGGGATCAGTTTTCAAAGTACTTTGACAATAAAGAGTTAAGCTACAGCAAGTTTGGGGGGGTTTGACCCATTGATGGAAGTTCCCAGCTCTTACTGGTCACAAAACCAGCTGTATTTGGAGCAGAATGGATGTGGGACTTCAGGAACAACAGTTACTATTGGGTGGTTTATTTTTAAATCACTGTGTTTAAAGTGAAAGATTTTCTGTTCCCTTCTGATATTTGCACTTAGATGGGAAGAGAATGTCTGGGATGAGACTCCTGTTCCAGCTTGCTCCTGTGCTCACTGAGTAACGTGTTCCTTCCCCACAGGGACACCACAGAGGCCCGTGAGGTCCCAAGGAAAGCAGCTCCTCGTAGTGCCCTGGAAAGTGAAGAGTATGTTAAAGATATTGTGGGTTTGTTGAATGCCAAAGACTTCAGAGAGAGGATAACTGGCATCAGGCAGCTGCTGCTGGATACAGAGAACAGTCCAGGCCTGGTGGTTGCAAACCTCGTGAAGGTAACTGTAGGAAAATGTTGGTTTTCAAAGGTCTTTAAAGTTGGGTCATGAAGATTTCTGATTAAAATCTTGGCTCCCTCTTTGAATAGGAATGATTAACAGAGAGCTTTGAAGAGCAGGGGAGCTCTGGGGGAGCTTCAAAGGGATAAGGGAAGTAAATAGGAGGAACAAGTTGGAAGTTTTCACTCAGAGAAAGCACTTTTGAACTACTGCCCAGAGAAGCTGTGGCT